GTAGTACTGGAAGTGAGATACTACACTGAGCCCCTTTGCCAGAGAAGTGCAGACCCACTGAGATGGTAGGAGAACAAGGCTTCAATTTATCCACGTCTTACATTGTGGCAACATCAGTCCCCTTTGAGAGAATCTGATCTGGTTTCTTCCTGATAGAAGAAACCGGATCAGCTCCTCAAAGCTAAGGCACTTGGTATTTCTAAATGCCAAACTTTACCTAAATTAAAAGATCTGGGTGTTCATTTATTTTTATTTACATAATAAAAATATATTTTTATATAATAAACCATTTTAAAAAAAACACCCTCTTTTTACATTACGAATTCATTTTGTGCATAATTGTATATTGTTGTTGATAATAAATTAATTAAAGCAACAAAACAACCTGAAGAGCTGCTCCGGAGTCGAAAGAGCTGGCTCTTTTTAGTGAATCGAGCCAATTAAGCCGGTTCTCAAAAAGGAGCCGGAATTCCCTCATCACTACCAGAAACCTAGGACAGCCACGAGAGGAGCCTGGTCACGACGCTCGTTATCGCCGCGATACCCTGATATTGATACAACAATCAATGCACCCACCTGGCATTTAAAGCTGCACTCCATGTTTAGTTTACTGGTGCTGTAAACCAACTAAAAACTCTTCTCTCCAGACAGGAAATGTAAATAAAAAAACCCCCACACAAACAGGGAAAAAAAGTCGTCATCTAAGGAATCTGCAGGCAGCTCCAATCTAAACACCAGCACACGGAGCGAAGTGTTTCGCTCTAACCTGGGCTCTCAGCTGGCGGGAGATTGCTTTATAAAGCAGCAGCGGTCTGACTCCTCCCTCCTCTGACGCTCAGTAGGAAGTTGTGTGTAAAACGCGGGCATGGAGAGAGAGTGTTGTTGTCGTTCTACCGCTTTTTGTTGGAGAATTTATTAGTACTCAAGGAAAATAAAGCATTTCAAATAATGTGTCGCTCCTGTAATGAAACGAAGAAGGTGACGTACAGTGAAACGCAACACAGTGTTGTTTTATGCAGGTGACATAAACGAGGAAAATATCCGTTCATCAAAAAAAGATAGAATATGAAAAGATTAGAAAGCTGTGGAGGTATTTTTGCAGTGTCGCGATCCTCTCTCGATTGCTCCTGATTCTTTTAATTCTGGCACACCTTACTGTAATACAAAATCCCTTTATTACCAATGCGCATTGGGAGATCAAACACAGTACAGAGGACTCGTTCCTCAGCTACTACTTTATATACTTTCTGGCT